TTTTTTTTTTGCATTCAGAGAATGTAGTGCAGTCTGGCTGTGTCTGTCTCATGTCAAGCCTGTGCCTCAAGCTCTCCTCTACCTCAAGAGTACTGTTTGACTATACTCAGAGCAATCTTACACTCAGTGAAGATAGACAGATATCTCTTGCCTGATGGTGTTATAAGACTTCCGTTTTATTCGGGTAATAAATAGTACGTGTTGGCAGAAGTTAGAACTTGTGCTTATAATAGATCTCTAAACATTATTTATTTTAATTTTTACTCCTTATGTTTATCGTCAGTATTTAGTGAAATAAAATATTATTGGTGTAGTTAGCCTTGATATGGTTGTGCTGGCTACATAGAACTTGAACATTTAGTGTTTGCATTCTGAGTTCCTGACACAAAGAGCTACTGCTCTATCTTGAAAGTAAGGTGGAAGGAAAATTATTATAACAATTTGCAGTTTAACTGGGAGGGGCAGGGGGAGTAGACAGAGGAACAAAAGAATCTACCTTCTCTGTTCTCCTTGCATCAAACACAACAAAGTAGTACTTGCAACTGTGTATGGAATATTTTCTCAGGAATATATTCTGCAATAAATCACTGAGAAATAACTTATGTTTATTTTGAGAAATACTTAGTGTGGGCAGAATTTGTTGGTCTTCAACTTTGGAGGAAAAGAATATTCAGGAAAGTTGTTTGTTTGTTTGAGGTTAGGATTTCTTTTTTTCTAGCAGAAAATTTCTAGCAGTCAAAATTCACACAATAAAAATATTTGACCATAGCAGTTTTTAACATCATGCAACATTTGAAAAAGCTTTCTGAACTGAATGTTTTCTATAAATGTCTGAAACAATGCTGCAATATTTCTGTTGTTTCTACAGCTTCCCTCGGGAATATTGGGAAGGTAGAGTTTGTACACTGAAGGTACATTTGTTGAGGGTGGAAAATAAAGCCACTAACTGAAGTCAAAATTTGAAATGTTTGTTTAGTTCAAATCTATTTTGACTTGAAGGCAATATGTTAGAGTTTTGTTGTATGGGGCATTGCTTATAGGGCATTTCCCACAGATTGACTCTCGTTGGTGATTTAGAAAACTTTAAACTTTGAATCTCTTATCTAGAGTAAAAAACTGTGTATAAACAAGTCTTAATCTTCCTTACCCTGTGGGATTTGAGATATGGAATGCTTGGAGTGGGTAGCCCATTAAACTTTTCAAATCAATGTGATTTTATTGACTTAATTGATGAAGGATTTTCAGAAAGAAAATGCTCGATACGCTTGTATTTGGGACACATTTGTGCTATTGTACAATATTTATTTAAGCAGATTTCATGGTAGAAACTTCTCTCTTCTCTGGCAGAGCTTTTATCTCAGTTATCAGGCGTGAGGCGTTCTGCAGGGCAGCTCAATTCCTCTGGCCCTTCTGCATCTCAGTTACAGCAACTGCAGATGCAACTGCAGTTGGAGCGACAGCATGCACAGGCAGCAAGACAACAACTGGAGACTGCACGCAATGCAAATAGGCGCACTAATGCAAGCAGCATCACCACCACTATTACGCAATCTATAGCAGCAACCAACACATCTAACGCAGAAAACAGTCAGCAGACTATCCAGAATTCTCAGTTTCTTCTTGCAAGGTAACTTGTTCTGTGGATTTAACTTTACTCTTCTGCCATTTCTGTTTTCCTAGGTCCTGATAAAGATATAGAGTTCATTGAAAATGTTGTATGTTTTAGTGTAGCGAAGTAGGGTCCTTAATTGCAGTTAAACATATCCCAGGATTAACAGGCCAATCAGTGAATCATATAGAACATGACAATGTTAGAGGTCAATAGCTGTCATAGAATATCTGTAATTCATAACTCAATCTAAATGAAAAATATTTCACATTTTAATGCAGTACCATTAAAAACAATAAACTTCATCTGCTGAATTGGTCTTAAACCTGATTATTCTTGTTAAATGTACTTAAAGATGTGGTAGTACCCTGTGCTTTGTTACCATAGTCAAAATAATCTGAATAATGTTAAATATCACATCTTGTGTATTGTAATCATAAGAAATATGATGTGTTGGTGTTTTTCAGTTGTTTGATGTACAGTTAGGTGTTTACAGACAAATTTGTAAAACAATCACAAAAAAAGTAGACTGATCCACACTATCAGAAGTAAAGTAAATCCAAGAAATGAATATCTAAGAGTGGTAGTTTGTAGCTGGGCTGAAGGGGATTCTTCTGATTTAAGGAAACCAACTCTAAGACTTGGCTGCAGAACTATCCAGTGGAGCCTCTGTATTGATAAAAGTGAGGGGCGATCTCACAGGCATGCTGCATTTCTTCTATGTATCTAGGAATGCATTTAAATGTTTAGACTCGGTTAGTTGTTGTCTTCGGGCCTTAAAAAGGAGTCTAGCCTTACAAGTTGAGCTATGGTTGTACGAGCTGCCTACAGTTCCAGCCATGGAATGGATTTGGCCAGATCCTTAATGAAGTTCGTGGCTGAGATGCTTTGCTTTTGTTTGAATTCGTAACATCATGTTTTCAATCCTGCTGTGTTTCTGCTCCTAGGCAATGAATAAGTATTACTTGTAGCTTCTCAGTTTTGAGAGAAACATAAGAGATATTATTTAGCTAAACTATGCTTATTTATCCTACTACTTCTGAAAGGGTGTTTGCAGTAATATGGCTCAAGCATTATATGCTGATGTGAGGGAAGAGAACTTAAGTAATATTATTTACTAGGAAACAAATCTTTAATGAAGGCTTAAGGTTGAATAGAGGCTTATATGTAAAATATTGTACATGAAAAAAGTAAATAAGGAATGGGCTTTTAATATGCAGAATACACTCCTGTTTAAGAAAGCATACTTCTAGGGTTGTTCCATTGAAAAATTGTTCGCTCTCATTCCACCTCTTTTAGTAGGCTTAGAATATTGATCTTCTGTATTCAAAAGTTTTGGGTTTTTGTTGTTTTTGTTGTTTTCAATTAAATGTCGAGAAAGAATACAGGCATTTGAGCAGTTGCTGATTCTTGAAACCTAGGTTGGGAAAAGCTATTGCTGTCATGCTGATTTTTATCTAAACTCAAAATAATATCAAACAATAATATCTTTTAATGAAAATCAGCAAATTTCAGTCACTGATCTTGTGAGGTAGTACAGAATGGAGAAAGCAATGTCCTTGCTTCTCTTAGGTGATGAGACATGCACTGATATGTGAAGAGAGTGAAGAGGCTTTACACGTGTAGTAATGTATTCTGTGCTGTGTTTGCATTTAGAAGTTGACCTAGGGACAAAATGGGCACTTTAAGGGATTACTAAGGAATCCCAACACCACCATCCCTTCAGCATGAGAATCCACTTCTATGAAGTCTTTCGTAGCACATAAGAACAGAAGATTTGTTAAATGTCTGCATTCTTGTTGCATCCAGTGTGAAAGATGATGTCTGATCTGCACATGTCAAAAGAAGTGCAGCAGTACCTAGGCTGGTTCCCATTTTCAAATGTCATTCAGCATTTATCAGTCCAGCTGTAAGAGTGGCAGCAGCCTTGGGGGGGGGGGAAGAGTTCAGCATGGTGGTTCACAATACTTCCTATTGCCACTCCTCCTCAGTGTGGCATGCAAAGCCCTCTAATTCGGGGAGGTGCAGCAAGATGCACCAAGAATGAGATGCACGTGATGCTTCCTATCCTGACCCAGATGCCCGATTGTATTATATAGAACCTTATACAGAATGATGAAGCAGCAAAATGTCCTTGTCTTGCAGAATTCTGTTTGCTTTCCCTGCAACTTTTTGTCTGTTTTGGGGGGGGGGGGAGTCATTGGTCTGGTGAAGAAATTGTAAAGGTAAAGCATCCATCAAACAGTCCACCTCAGTCAAGCTCCTGCCTGAGCCTTGCGGCCTGTGCACCTACTAGGCTGGGCAGCAAAATGAGCCCTGGTGCCGCAGGAGGATGGAGAATTATTAGTTGGCTATTTATTTTTAAAAGTATTTTCTTCTGATTCAATCTCCCCCACCTTTTCCATCCAAGCTGCCCCCACCTGTCTTCATTTTCCTCTACCCCTGTGTTTTCATGCCCTACTATGCTCCTGTCCCTCTGTTTTCCTTATCTCCAATTTAACTCCCTTGTGTTCTCCACCATCTTTCTTTTTTCTATTGGTGGTGGTGGTGGTGGGTTTTTTTTGCCTATTAAGGGGTCAGTCTTCCTCTCTCCTTGTCTTCTTCTCCCCAATTACATCTTTCCCTGAATAGCTTTACAACCCTCTTTCAAGTTTCCTTTCTGCACCTCACATCACATTACAACCCCATATTTCTTACTACCACAGTTCTTTTACGCTTCCTTTCCTTTTCATCAGTCTGGAAGGTAACAAGAACCTGCAGGCCAGAGGGACCCAAATGCTAAGCTGCACTAATGATTGACAGGATGAGGTGCCCCATTTCATTCTTTGCACCACATCCCATGCTAATCATATTATGCCTTTGCCTCTCCCCCCCTGTGTGTACATGCTTCTTTCCCCTATGCTTTGTCTAGTGCTGCTTGCCTTTCATCACTTTTTTTTCCCATCTTTCATCACTTCCATCTCTTGCAGTTTCTTAACCCCAATGCCTAATGAGGAAATAACCTAGGCCCAGTCTCTTTGAAAACCGCAGTGCGTGGTGCCTGTTTTCATTAGCAGAAACTGTATCTACACATGGAGGAGTTGTAAGGGAAATTGGGAGCCATTTTGAGTGAAGGCAGCCAGTAGCATTGCTACTGTTGAAAGCAATAGGAGGGCATCATTGTGGAGGGCAAAATGTTTGCAAGAAACATGCATAGATGGGCAACCTGGTCCAGTGCTCTGTTACCCTCACAGTCAAGAATTTTTTCCTCAAATTTAGATGGAACTTCTTGTGTTTCAGTTTGTGCCTGTTGCCTCTTGTTCTGCTGCTAGGCACCACTGAAAAGAGTCTATCCCCATCCTCTTGACGCCCTCCCTTAAGATATTCGTACACACTGATAAGATCCCCTTTGTCTTCTCTTCTCCAGGCTAAACAGGCCCAGTTCCCTCAGCCTTTCTTCATATGAGAGATGCTCCAGTCCCCTATTCATCTTCATAGTCCTATGCTGGACTCTCTCCAGTAGTTCCATGTCCCTCTTGTACTGGGGAGCCCAGCACTGAACACAGTGCTCCAGATGCGGCCTCACCAGGGCTGAGTAGAGGGGAAGGATCGCTTCCCTCGACCTGCTGGAGACGCTCCTCCTGATGCACCCCAGGATACCATTGACCTGCTTGGCCACAAGGGCACATTGCTGGCTCATGGGTAACTTGTTTACCAGGATACCCAGGTCCTTTTCTGCAAAGCTGCTTTCTAGCAGGTCAAGATGGTGAAGCAGATTGAAAACTGGCTGAACTGCCAGGCTCAGAGAGTTGTAATTAGTGGCATAAAGTCCAACTGGAAGCCAATCACAAGTGGTGTACCCCAAAGTGGTACACCCCATAATGGACCAATGCACATCTAGGGGTAGGGAGGAAGGGTACATATGGGATTGGGTACATTGGGATGTTTTGGAGGTGCATGCTCATCTTGGCTCCCGGTTTTTGGTTGGCAACCCTTTGAATAAGGAGAAAGGAGTTTGGGTACTTGCAGGAGCATATATGAGAGGAGTGGCCACGACAGCCCCTTAACTTTAATGTTAAAGCCCTGGTCAAGCCTGAGCAACGGTTCACTATAAATGAATGGGTATGTTGGGAATACAGAGTTGACCTCATCTGGAAAAATAGAACATCATTTACTCAAAGCATTGTAAAAACAGACGGACAGTATTTATGGTATTTACGACAGTATTTACGACTGACAGTATTTATGGTATTTGTGACTGCAAGGCACGCAAGAGACAGGCGGATACCAGTGAAGAGAAACACTCAAAGTTCATGAGGGGTTAAATAGCATAGATTTAATGAAGGACTCAAACTCCAAGCTGCATGGGGAGTCCCGGGTACTACAAGGAAGGGTCATCGATGGGAGCCTGCTAGAGGCACTGTTTCATTCAATGAAACAGGTTTTCACTAACTGTCTGTCTTGTCTCTTTCTGTGCTGCTGTACAGGTTGAATGATCCTAAGATGTCAGAAGGAGAGCGTCAGTCAATGGAAAGTGAACGGGCAGACCGCAGCTTGTTTGTTCAAGAGCTTTTGCTGTCCACTTTGATGCGGGAAGAAAGCTCTTCCTCAGATGAGGATGAGCAAGGGGAGATTGCTGATTTTGGTGCTATGGGCTGTGTAGATATTATGCCTCTAGATGTTGCTTTAGAAAACCTAAATTTAAAAGAGAGTAATGAAGGAAATGAGCCTCCTCCACCTCCTCTTTGATGGCATCCCACTTTGCAGACAATGTCCTCTGTGCTGTATTTGCCAATGAAAGTGGACAACAACTATCTTGGGTTTGTTTTGGTGATTGTAATTTCAGGTCTGTTACTCTTGTTACATTGTGTACATTCAAAAGGAAGAGAGAAAAGATATATATGATAATCATTTCCACTTAACTAATTTGTACTTCTAGCAGGTAAATATAGGTTGCAGTGTGGGGAAAAAAAAGCTCTGCATCCTGTAGCTTGACATGCAAAAGGCTCTCCTAATACTCCGCATTCAAACTGAGGAGGAAAAAATGAAAAATCTCTAATGAAGCTGCTGTGTGTATTTATGAATATTAATGAATAAAAAATGCTTGGATGGTTTACCTTAACTACTGCATGACCTTTTTTGCAGCGTGCATGAGTTCTAGTGACCTTGTCATTAAAAAAAATAAATGCAAGGAGTAAAACTAAAACCCCAAAGCTTTCCCATTCTTCAAAGGTAATGTGAGGAAAAAAAGGTTAGTGCTCACTAGCAGTTTGTAGCCATGAAGTAGTTTTTGAGTAACATGTGACTAATGACCTTTTTATGTACCCTCCCTGCACATTAATGCAAACTCCACAGCGGGCTACAATGTCATTTCCAGGATGTGGCGTTTTGCTATATATTTTCGCCCTTTTAGTCATTATATCTAGGTGGGCTCGAACTTTTTATATGTTTATGGGAGAGAAAATAACAAGGCCATTGCTGGAATCTACCACAAATTCCCTAAAATCAATTTTTGTTCACCTTTCCTTAAAGTTTTCCCTTTTAATTTTTCTTTTAACCATTAAACATATTTTATTTGGGTGTAGATGATTCATATATTCACTGTCTTGGGGAAAAAAAAAAAGTTAACTTGAATTATGTTGCCTTTAAGTCTTCAGAGTCTCTATCATTTTGAGATATTTATGTATTTCCTTCATAGCTTGCAGAAACTTGTCAGTATCAGGAGAGTTGGAGGGTTTGACTTCCTAGACTGTCAATATGTTGAAATGGAATTCTTAATGCTAACTTTATTGACCTTTATTTATTGGGCTTTTTGGTTATATTTCTGGCATTAAAAAAAAAGGAAGCCTTTTTAAGTGAAACATGCCACCTATAAGCCTATACTGTTAATCCTATATGTTTTTAAATATTCTCTCTCTCTCTTTTTTTTTTTTTTTTTTTGGTGTACGGATTATTATAATAGCCCCAAGGCAAAGGACAGCAAGGCTTTGTGTTTTTTGGAATGTAGAGTTAGATTATAAGGACAAAAGTTGCACACAACTTCCGATAAATTTAGACTTGAAAACTTGATGGTGTTCCTAACAGAACTGTGATATATATGCTAATTAAAATGACAGCAACAGAAGAAGCCACCTCATAGGTTGCCGTTTCAGTTCCATTCTCACTTTCTTAATTCTCAAATTCTATTGTTTCCTTTTAGTATTGTATTAGCTTTGTCTTTTAGTCTCTGCAGCAGAAAATGTTTTAAGGGAACTTTTTACACCAGTCCTCCAGTTATCCCAGGAGTTATCCCCAGTAGGGTTTTATTTTTGATTGATTATTGAGGGTTAAAAAAAATAAAGGTTCAAGCTGTAGTCTTTTCAGACACATCTTCTGCACATTAAAAAAAGACACAGTTCAATAAAGCTTTTTCAAGGCTGCTGTTCACTTGATTCTTTGGTGTTGATGTATTAATCAGGTAACAGCAGAAGAAATTCTGGAATGAAGCTGTCATTTCCAACTGTATGCAAAGGTATTTCAGGTAGAAATCCCAGGATTTTTACATAAACACACTTCTAAAAATTTACATATTCTGTGCAGTGCATGTAGCAGTGAATAAGCATGTAATCTTACAGCTCACAGGTACATGCATCCAACTTCTAGGGAAGAATTGATTTAAAACAGGACCTTCTTAATGAATATTGAATGTTGTTTAAAATCGTATATAGGCGATCTGTTGAGGATGTGTATGTCGCGTGGTTTACAAACTCCATTACACTTTTACAGCACTTGGAAAGGCTGCATAATCCTTACTGTCCATGTTTATTGTGAGTATCTGAGTATCCTCTAGCTTATATTTAAAATTAAATTTAGTTACTACAGTAACTCCTCTAAGGATTACAAGTGTTTTAGATTCTGTTAGCATAGAAATAATGCCAAACAGCTACTAGGAGAGCTTTGTTCTAGCACTTTGCTGATTAGTATTTGTAGGGAAGTGTTCTTCCTTGAAGAAGAATATTTCCTTGAAATAGTATTCCCAGAATTATATTTTGGTTATTTTCAATAATTTAGTGTTAGTCTAAGTAAAGTATTAACAGTCTAATCAAATAAATATTATATAGTCCAGTTACAGTGATACTAGGACTATTCAAATTATATACAGTTAAAATGATACACCCATAGACTTTCTAGAGCCTACCCCTTTCTCTGGTGTTATGCTCACCCTTCTAAGGTCGGTGGCTTCAGTCTGGTGGTGGTGGGGGGGGGGGGTGCTGTATGGTGAGTCGTCAGCATCCCAAGTTCTTTCCTGGGAGAGGTATGATGTTGATGCTACTGGTTTCTTCCTCCTCACTAGGATTTGCTTGGGGCTTTGCTTGATCCAGCTCCCAAGCCTGCATTTCTTTAACCAGTAACTGACCACTGGTGAGTTGTTCATAGACCTGGGGCCTCTGGTATCATCCTGTGCCAACACTTTCAAGGCCTCTACTCTCACCCCATGTTTGTACTCCTCTGTGCTGCATTTTATTGTGTTACAGTTCATTCTGCACATAAGAGCTACTTGCTATTACTAGCTATTGTTATATCTTTGAAACCAAGTGTTACAACATAGAACTGTACAAAGATAAGCAAAAGCTAAAACAAAGTAGGTAACGGTCACCTGGTCATTAGATAATTGATGTTACAGCTAAAAGAGCTAAAACAAATCTCCAGACAGGCCAAGACAAGTCCAGACAAAGCCTGACAAGTCCTGAGGCCTGTGTTGTTAGCTTAACACACAGCCTGTGGCCTGTTATAAGCAATGGCCGCACCAGATTTGCTGGGCTACAAGGCTTATATTACTGTTAACAATTCCTTCATCAAAAGTGAAAACCTTCATTTCATGCACTGGTGCAGTGTATCAGTGAGTTCTCTCTGCTACAAACAAGTACAGTGACCACATTCCTTAAGTTTGACAGGCCTTCTCACGTTCCACTTCTGTCCCCAAATAACTACTTAAACATACTACTGGCTCTCTGCTGCCCACTTTCCCTTCCCTATTCCTTTTTATACAATTCCTGCAGCCCTACACAATCTCCCAAGCCGTCTTACCTCTCTTCATGCCCAGCACCCATTTCTATCCATTTTTGCAATATTTTAAGTGTTGCAGACAGAAGTATGGGTGGCAAAGACAGTGGGGTAACGGACACAGGATTAAGGAACGCAGGGAGTACTGTACTCACTGAGACACACAGACAAGATGCTAGTTCTCCTTTTTCTCTCCCCTTCCGTGTTAAATGAATAAGGACTAAAGTACATGGAATACATACAGGCTTTAATAGAGACAATACCAAAGATTAAGAGGCAGGAGAGAAAGCCTGCTGAATACTCTGACAATTTTAGGAGCTATTGCAAGTTATGTGGAGCTCTAACAAGATGATGATAAAATTTTCAGAAGTCAGTCATGCTCTATAGAAGTAAACTGGCTCAAAGACAACCAAAGGTACACAAGCCCTATGTTGAAATGAGTTTGCTTTCCCAGAAAGTAACCAATTAAGGCATGTAACAGGATCCATAGGTAATCTCTGTACTCAGCCTGTTCCACTGCCCAGGTAGTACGTAGCTAGCCCTCCTCCCCTTCCCCCAAATAGCCCTTCATCACTGATGCATCTCCCTGAATATCAATCCAGAATGAATTCCAGCTACAAAATGTCTAGTCACAAATGCTAAAAATGTGAACATAAGGGATAGAAGAAACATGAAAGAGCAGAGGAAAAGATGACTGAGACATGGGACAGAGACACTCTTGAAGACATCTGAATGACTAAGCTATAACTTGCATTTCTTGCAAGGATAAGTGCATTCACTTCTCTAAGATTCCTTTGCTACAAAGAAAAGATTCCACTTCCCTCTCTCATCTCTCCTGAACAGTAACATTACTTCCCAGCCCTACCACACTTCTCTACTTCTGATTTCTTCTGCAACTTGCTCTCAAGTATCCCCCACTTACTTAAAGTCCTCTTCTAGCCAGCATACATTTTTTTCCTCCACACATAGTTACTTGATGGGGGGATCTAACCATAATGACAAGATTCATTAAAAATAAGTCTGCCTAGGTGTGAAAAGTCAACTGTGCTCAGAAGTTTACAGACTTGTATAAAGACATGCATGGCATGCAGCGAACAGACGCAGCAGTTTGCGCAGCAGTTCATACAGAAGGGTGCCAGAATGAATCTTTCTTTCCAATCCTAATAGTGTATGTCTCAGAAATGGTCATGACACGCTGCAGAGCACAGTCCCCAGTAGATGTTGGAGCCGCTGTGTCATCTGTGTCAGAGGCTTCAATGCAGATCGACTCTGACAGCGGAGGTAGCTCTACAGGTCTCGGGCTGCAGGGAGTGCTTGGGGCCTCTCCGTTAGGCCTTGGATGACAGTCAGCCCTCCTGCCAAAGGTGCTCTGTCGTTGACGAGTTGTGTCACCAGGTAAAGGAGTTACGGGAGGAAGTCAGCAGGCTGCGGAGCATCCGGGAACATAAGCAGGAGATAAACAGGGTATTCTCTGAGACCATGCAGCTACAGGAGTCCCAGCCTCCCACAGCAGTGCAGTTGCCAAGGGACTCTGTGCTGTGTGAAACTGTACATTGTAACACTGTAGATGAAGGCTGGAAACTTGTTACTTCTCGTAGGAGGAGAAAGGCTCTTACTCCTCCTGAAGACCTGCAGCTGAGGAATAGGTTTAGTGCCCTCCAGGCTGAGGAAGAGCTGAGCATGGCTTCAAGGGAAGCGAGTGGGCCAACAGACCCCGTGCCTCGCAGGAACACCCGGAAGAAGCGGCAAGTGATTGTTGTGGGAGAATCCCTGCTGCAGGGGATGGGGGCACCAATCTGCCGACCTGACCCCTTGTCCAGAGAGGTTTGCTGCCTGCCAGGTGCTCAAATAAGAGACGTCATGGAGAGACTGCCAAGGCTTGTCCAGGCTTCAGACTATTACCCACTGTTGCTCTTTCATGTGAGCATTAACGATACCAAGGGGAAACTAGAGACCATCAAACAGGATTTCAGAGCTCAGGGGATGGTGGTCAAGGGTCTAGACAGTTAACATCCTTTAACCAAGGACAAACTGGAGCTCCTCATTAAAAAATCAGGATGCTTTTTCACACATTGCAAA